TGCAGGTCTGCTGCGACTGGCGAGCCTCTCTTGTCACCTTCTGAAGTATTTAGATCCATAACAAGGCTTTGTTTGTCTGTGTAAACAAAACCAGACATTCTACAGAGGTCGTCGGCCCGTGGTGGCCTTAGGCCAGTGTTCTGAGTACTCCAAACCTAGACTGTAGTACGAAGAATTGGTAGTTACTTGGTGTGAATGATTTGTGGTTATCTCGATAAATACTAAAACCCTTCCACAAATAAGTTCTTATTTTATACGCAACAATGTTGAAGGATCTACAAAAACGTCCATACACCCATGAACCCTAGGGTTACTTACTTAGATGCTCTAAGTAGCATACGATATAAGGTAATACGTAATATGCTGTAAAAACATTGGGTTATTAAATAGGATTGGTATTCATATCGTGTGTATAATTTATCGTTCTCTTGATACAATTTTCCTGCAATTTTATTTACAGACAAATGTCCCAGTGATGGCAAGTTTACACTTTATTTTAAAGAAAAATAAGAATGAAATAGCTAGTGTATTAAGAGCGCAAAGTACGTCATGACATACTGGATCCACATGATACAAAATCTAAAAGTGGAATTGTAATTGATCCAACAATAAGGTTCGAAACATCATCAAACCAACCCCTAGAAGTAGATGAAGAAAAGAGGAAAATTTATAGTAAATGTGAAACTTAATTAAGAAACAAATATAATCTAAATTCAATATCAGTAATTGGCATAATGATTGGTGCAAGAGGGACTATTACAAAATTTTTTGACGAATTTTAAAAAAAATATAATCTTCCATCAAAATTAAAAAATGAAATAGTCATAAAAGTGCTAAAAGAATCATGTAAAATCATTCAAAATCATTTATATGGACAACGTTATTAATCTATGTTACATGTTATTTATATCATAAATTTAAGTTTTTTTTTACTGTGTCTAATAGGCAAAGTTTATTAATAAACTCAGTTTTCAAAATAAAATAATAAGATCGAGAAAGGTCGAATGTTGACTCATCATAAATATTGTTTGGAACGGCGCTAGCTTTGAAGATAGCGTGTTACACCGTACATCTATTTATACTACAACCCATTATGGACAAAATAATATACATCCTTTTCCATCTGTGGATCTGTACAGCAATGATACGATGTAACAAGATACAACACGAAAGATAGTGCCATAATTTTAATAAACCTGTTGTAATGGGTGTAAAAAAGGTGTATTTTATATTTAAAGCTGGAATGGAATTTTCGTTGACAAAAATTAAATATAAACCTTGAAAGCCCCCAGGACCTAATTACTCATAAATATAAATTATTTATTCACTATTTATGTTTTGCTGTTTAGAAGTTCTGTTACGTTTTTGACTGATCAATGGTTTTGACTGTGCTATCGTTGGATGTTGGATACCTCCTATTTTGAGGAGGTATTAGAACATGTCTGACTTAAAATCGAACCTTAAAAGACATCTATTCTACGTTAATGTAATGATTAATCTAAGAAAGGTACTTTATGTCATAATTTGATGGTACGGTTTCAGTATCGAGCGTGAGTGATCGCCCGTATCAACAAGTGTGAAGCGGCGCTCGGCTCACTTTGACTACAAGGAATTTGGCCTCTTTCTCTTGACTTGTTTACCAATTAAGAGAAGCCCGATTAAATTTAACTCGTCAAAGGCTTCAATCATTTACATAATAGAGGTTGCTCATTGGTGAATTAGTGGGTCAATACCATAAACGAGAGTGACAAGCGGTGCCAAATAATGGGCTAAAGAATTAGAACCATAACAACTGTAAACCGTAAATATTTATAATTTTGCAAAAAATAAGTTATAGCATTTAAATGCCTTAACCAATTTGCGAAGAGACATAATTATATATACCAACAGAGGACCACTTAGATAAAATCTTACAAACTTACGTTGATTTAAGGTGTGATTCTTGTACTAACCAAATAGTGTCAATTTAATTTCACGTGTATTATATATTTAATGGTTTTCAACGCCATAAGTAATTTTTAAGTTTTTCGTAACTAAACGGTTTGAATCCTGGTATTGTTGTTATCTAACGTCAATCTTTAGCGGGGCAGCATCACTGATGAAAAACTGTATATGTGAGTCTAGAATAAAATCTCACTCGGAATCAAATTTTGAAATACAACACAGAATTAATCGTTCAACTATTCAAATCCCGTCCTAACTAAGCTTTCATCTGGAAACGATTCAAACAGGGAGAGTTAGAAATCGATTGAGATAAATCTAAAAGTGTAACACAGGCCGTATAAGACGAAATAGGAAATACACATACAGAGCAGCTGATAAAGGAAGGCCACAGCGAGATGTGGGTTAAGGTAATGCATGGTACAAATAAGGCAACAAGTTAGAAAGTGCAAGTAGCGGCATTCCCGTACTGAGCACAGGGCCGACCACGTATACCTCAGCATTCGAGGAATCTTTCTCACTACAAGTCGCCATTCTGATAGTTCACACGACAATTTTGTTTTTTCCTATAAGATCACCACTTGGAGGGAGGTTACGTTGAATGGTGGATGAGTGATGCATTGGAGGATGGGATGGATGAAGTAACTCTTCAGGGCAGTTTGGTTTGACTATGAGTACTTCATTTTCCGTGTGGCATCCGGAATTAAAGGCAAAGGTTAAACATGTACATGCGTCAACTATCTTGATACTTGGATAAACTAAGAAATAATTGGTAGTTCAGTTAGATATAAAATCTTCAAGAGAAGGAACTTCATGGAAGTGACAAAGAAAAAAATCAGCTAAATATAAATACTGAAAAAAAAACATCAATTATAGGTAGTCCCCTTTCAGTGCAATTACATTAGAAACAGCTGGATCTTATCTTCTTGAAGAACGGCGGAAACGTACTTGGGAATATTATATTTGAAAGATGACAAAACTATCAGACCATTCGCTTTGATGCGTGACGCAATAAATCTCAATAGTCAAATTAACGGTTCCTCATCAAGTAGTCTTGTGAATCCAACAAACCCACAATTTTGCCATCAACTAGAACTAGACAATATATCATAGGGATTATGCGCAGTGGAAACAAGCGTTAAACCTTTCATCGCGTATGGAATTATGTTTAAAGCTAGCCGCGAGTAAAACTGTGTACGATCTGTGAAAAAAGCCTGTCATCGCTGAGTAACAGATGGGAGCTATCGAGATACAACTGTGTTTACTCTATGTCTGAGCGCGACAACAAACTATGTTGATACTCTATGTCTGTGTTTACATCGCGGCTTAGTGCATTACTATTACTGGTAGGGAACGTACGCTGTTCTGACGTCACTACGGAATGGCGTGAGAAAAAATAAGCTGTCATAGTTCCCTACTCAACGGCATGCTTCCTTGATCTTAAAATATTGGCTATACCCTTAGTAATATGGGAGTGCCCTGAAACCGAACGCCAGGTGACAACTGTAATTTTTTCGAGGGACATCAATTCAAGGAGTTGAATGGAAACCATGTATATTTAACTAACTTTTGCCTCTTTGTTGTACCTTAACGACGGATACTAATACAAATTGCAAATCACACTATGTTATTATTATATCAGGAAATCCGTACCCAGTGTACCGAAAGAATTGTTAAGCTGGTTCACAATCGGCTAGGAATGCGTACCGATGTGTGTGTCGACTTACAGAATTAGTAAAATCATTAAGTAATTTATTGATAATTGTTTAACAATCAATCCGTTGACATATCATGATTTTACTATGGCTGCAAGCAAATTTACCGATCAACTCATCCAATTCCACCTTCCGCAAATAACAGCTATCCAATTTTGTCATTTTTGAATGACAACAATGCAATAGGAACAGCTGATTCAACCTAACTGGTAACGTATCGAAAACTACAACAATCTAAACCAGTAATTTAGAATGCATTGTTTAGACAGACACCACACTGTTGTTGTAGGATGCACCACATAATACAGAGTAGATACTTAATTTGTCTACTCATTATTATGTGCATGTATGTGATCTATACATAGAGGTTATAGTGTGAGAAGACTACAAATTGATCAATTTATCGCGGAAGTCATATGTTGCGTATTGCGCTGTGAGAAGACTCAACATAGTGAAGCACGGAGCGTGTGCCGAATCTGTTATGCGCCCGATGTTGTGACGTAATGCGTGACGTCACCTCTTGAATAGCTCTCGTCTCTAGAGTTTGAGAGCTCTGAGAATTGCTTCATGTTGAATCTCAGCTTCAGCGTATTTGACGTTATCTACGATAACAGCTGTTTTCATAGGTCAGCACGTGTTTGCAAAATGTTTGAAACACTTCCTGGAGAGTATCTATTAGTCAATGGTACGATATTGCTGGCTTGTTTGAACTATATCAAGTGCAAGACACGTTGACACGTTGCTATTAGTTCAGAGAACATTTGATCTTTACTACAGTTCATGGAAATAACACCACAAAATACACGGGCGATTACCTGGCATGGTGGCTTTTGGAACAATACGTTTACCTTTTGATCTATAGATCCAGATCTAGTGTTTTAGAAGTTGAAGGGAATTTTAAGAGGAATTTTGTTATCAAAGTGACAATTTAGTTTTTGTAGTAGGTATACTATATTCAGTTTTAGTTGTCTAATTTCCAAGTTTTGCATTAAAAGAAAACAGGAAAACTAAAAGTGTACTAAACGGATCGATAATGATAAATTAATTATTAACTCATTACATTATTATACCAGGACACCAATAATAATATTCTTATACACGTCACGTGCTTCATGTCCAACCACTTGCTTTAGAAACCGATTTTACTCTACCTAGTCCAGTTTAAACTTATTATTCACGCTCACGATTCTTTTTTACATCAAATATTTACTTTCTCTAAGTGGTAAAATGCAAATGCGCCTGCTATTACTCAAGGAAGGCCTTTTGTCGTCCGCCGGCGCCGGGTGGTGGGAGGGAGATGACATCATTGTGAGCCAATCAGGAGCCAGCTAGCAGTCACGTGACCCCCAGGTGGCTCGGAGCGGCAAGTTTCACGGCAAAGCAGTCAGTCTTCCCTCGTAGTTGAAGGCGTAAGTAAGTGTGAAAGTGAGTGAGATGGCAAACAACAGAGCCGCCAAGTCTGGATTTGCCGCCGAGGCGCAGAGAAAAGTGAGTTATTTGTTTATAATGTGAATAATATTTATTTAATATAAAACCTAGTTTATTTTGCATTTTATGAGGCTGCTGTAATGACAAAGAAACAGACGGCTGGAAATCGGTCTCCAGTTTGCTATTGTTGCCCGTTTCTGTCACGCTTTTCGTTCAAATTGAGGAATTTCATATATCTTTGACTACTAAACTCGATTTTCAACGCTGCAATTAAATTTTGTTTGATAAAATGAACATGCGATGTACCCAAAAGTTTTGTTAACCATTTTACTTTTGAAATCCAGTAAAATTGTATAACTATTTCATGCTAGGCTATATCTATAGTACAGTATAGTAATCCGTGTATATATCTCTCCTTCATGATTATGTGTAGCCTATTATTAAAAAGTTAGTTAACTATTTTTGTATAAACTATAAACAGTGATTTAGACGATTGCATAAACTCAGTATCCCGAATTTTAAAAGCAATTCATTTGTACAGTTTTCAAATACGTCTAGAAAGCTACCTCACTCTAGGAATAAAAATATTCTCGTAAAACAGATGTCACTCATGTACCGGTAGGTCGTAGGTACTTCGTATGAATTCAGATGGTTTCATCATACTCTTAGATTTATAAACCGATTTTGTAATTATTTTTTTAGGTACAACTTTTCTAATGCACCTGACATGCAACAATTGGAATACCGTAGATCATAAGTCAGTCCACTATTGTGCCGCTTCTCATAGTCGGATAGCATCTCCCAATATTATAGACAACAAGCATTTGTCCACATCAGATGTCTCTCGGCCCGGTGGTGTAGTGTAGTGTAGGCGGCAGTGGGACCTGGGACCGGGCCACTCCCTCTGGTCTGCCAGACAAGGAGAATGTCTTGACGTTTTGTTTTGCGGCTGTTTAATTTGACCGAATTCCTCGCCCGACTCACAACAATAACAATAGCAGCGTCAACTAGGCAACCTGCTGTCTTGTGACACTTGTATGATCCGAAATAGCAAGTGGAAGTCAAACAATATTTTAGGAAAAGGAAGAAAGAAAAGTTGAAACTTGATGATGTAAATTAATATATTCATTGTTATCGGATGAAATAATTATTGATTTAACTCTAATTCAATTTTATTGATAGCAATTAGTAAACTTTTAAATCTTAAGTTGAAGTGAAGAAACCGTATCTGCAAACGATTAAACATAGGTTCTCTACTAATATAAATTTGTTTATTGTTTACGGCATCACAATATTTACTATGTATCCATTTGCATACATAGAGAGACGTGAATACTCTAAATTATACAAATTACTAATACATAGGCCATAATATATTCGTGTAAATAACAGTTGGAGAAATTTTATTTTAAACGTTCAGGCAATGATCATATTCATCCGTGCAAAAAGCTTACGTGTTAAAATACCTGTAGGTTACAGTACAATATATTTTTTCATCATCATTTGAGTCATTCACTCAGTTCTAGCCTATAGAAAACTAAATAAATAGGTCCACGTGTGCACTGATTGGCCAGCTTTTTACCAAGAATATCATATTTACGGTGTCTTATTAATAACTGCCATTATATACAAGAACAATTTAGGATATTTATGTCATTTTATTCCGGAAGTGATCAGTGATCGAGGCCTGAGCTCAGACCAAGTTCAAATCAAATGTCAGCTGTTATCAATGATACAGTCGCTTAGTTATCAGCTGGGCGGTACAGGGCGGATGACGTCATGCTGGTTATCGATTGCTCTCTCTCTTTCTCTCGTGACCCAATTTACCCTTCCCCGACAAACTGTGAGAGAATCATCTGTTTGTTATCTTAATTTGTGCGGGGTCCATCGATACTATTGATACTGTATTCAACTCGGGGTGAGCAGCACAGAAAACGTTATCTTAAACACCCAACCCAAAATATACACCGAGCGAAATGTCAAGCACCTCACACTATATTACTGTATATATAAGTGGTTAAGGAAGAAGTCATAAGAAACTAAATGGGGGGTTTCTATATCAGATTCATGCATTGGTGTAAGGTCTAATACTAGTAAAGTTTCAATACCCTTGCACCCATAGAACGGGTAAGGAACTGTTATAACAAAATTCAAATTCAATTTATTATCTCAAATTACAGTTTGAATACGGAATTTTGTTACATACAATACTGATTATGCATCACCGTATCATAATATGGCGATAACAATTGTCATTTAAACAAATTTAATTGATTTTAGTCTTACGATTTACAAATTTTAGGTCAGTGAACATTTTATGCCTTCTGCAATTCAATAATTTGTTTGTGGCATAGATCAGTTTACGACGATAACTTAATTTAGTACAGGCATTTTAGATTAAAGGTATTACAGAATGACAGGTACGCTACAATATTGCAGAATTTATTCGTAAAATGCATCCACTTACTCTTACAGCTTGAAAGCGTACATTTAAATCGAGGCGGGTGCAGATATCTTGTATGTTACGATAACTTAGTCCATGTGAGACAGAATATATTAACTGAAAATGGGAACAGACGCTTGAAATCTTTGCGATTGAATTCATGTCCAATCGTAACACATGAACAAAAATATTTTCTAAAATTTCAGAGGTTGATGCTTAAAGACGACTGGGGTTTTTATTCCCTTCACTTGGCTATCCTCAAATTGGTTTCTAGCCCTAGCCTACAACAGACCTGGACCTGACAAATATCTCATTATTCTAATGCTAGCCCAGGAGTCTATATAGATGTGGCAACGTCGCAGCAGAAAGAGAGGCTAGTATCAGAGAACAATGCTTGCTGACGATTGCGCGCTCAGCTTCAACAATCTGTTAGCTTCGTCAGCACTCAGCAAGGCACCGAGTCAGGCTTCCGGTAAAACCCAAGCTAGGACAAGAATACATAGTGTGCTACTTAGCTTCAATATGTGGTAAAAATAGTCATCTATCTTTATCACAATCTCAACATATCCTGGGTGTATTATCTCGTAGTAGTTATGTAAATTATTGGGAAAATGAGGTCTCTGACTTCGCATTTCGTTATCCAACAAGTTGAGGCGGAGTTGCATCTTAGTTTGTCAGGACCTATGTCATCGTAGTACTGCATGTACTTCACGTTGAATAAAGTTCACGTTTGAGAGTTTGATTACATTTTGACCCATCGATGTATAATAACTCCCGTTTGACCTATGACTAAACAACTGACACCGAAACCAGAACTCCTCCAGCGCTCCAGCTAATTTCGCTGTAGGGATGTGAGAGATGGTCCAGGAAACTTTGTAGCGAAGGAGGGGCACAATATTTCTTGTATAGGAAATAGACCGCAGTACATGTTTTCCAATAATTGCTTCATCCGAGGTCAATATCATACCTTTGACTATCGTAGCTTACGAAACAGTTTGTGAAAAGTAAACATTTATTTGACGTCAACATTTGATCGCCAGGGCTGTCTTGAACGTTAACTTCGTCATAAACTTGGAAGTTGAGCTCAGTATTAACCAAATCTGAGGAATTTGTTCATCTTCTTCAGAAAATGCCATGACGTAACTCAATCTCTTAGGCTGCATGACAACCACTCGGACTCGAACCAGTTATAAAATGCAAACGAGAAAGAGAAGAAACTTCCATCTCTGCACCTGAACGATACTACGGCACATAGCATCAATATGCAATATACATTATACATGTCATCAATCAATCACAGCCTGAGGTTCTTGTCGTCGTCAAGTCCCGAGGTTGAGATTCATGGGCGGGTTGTCCTTGGCACAAACCAGTTTCGTGTAGTCCTATTCCGCCCGAGTTTTATTTCGCCCGGAGCCTAATTACTCCCAATTCGCCCGTGGTCCCAGATTAACCCCTATAATCCTCAGCTCTACCTGCGTCAGGAGTCCTATTCCATCCACGGAGGACCCCACCCACCCCCGGATAATGTAGCTATATAAAAGCCCTCCCCTACCCATCACCCCTACCACTTTATAATCTGGAACTTTCCTTTGGGTTTGTTGGGCGTTGAAACGCTTCAACAGTTATCTATATTGATAAATGCTTACGACATAACAGATTAATAAAATTGACTGTCTATGAACTGTTAGTTACTGTACGGTAACTGTATGTTTCTGTACGGCAAACAGAAACATATGATAACACTGCAATCCAAGACATGGCCAAACAAAGGCCACTAGTTAGCTGCTTCTAGTGTTAAATTTCCAACTGCACACCTTTGAGTTTTCTTTATTATACAATGTAAATAATTCGCCTATTGGGTCTGATGATGATTGGAGTGTCGAATCAAACTCGATCACCATTTGCCATCTTTTATGTATATTTATCGTCTAGTGAGATAATAGTATAAGAGCACAAATATATATTTTAAGTGTTATTAGACGTTTTTTTCTTTTCGTATACAATGTAATATAGTAGTTTACGCAAGGAATACGTTAAGATAGTGTCGTTTACTTTATTTACGCAAGTTGCGTACACTACTTCAGTGTTACTGTATTTTGGAGTAGTGACAGTGTAAATGGACCAGTGTTATTAGACTATCTTTTTTTACTTTTCATATACAATGTAATGTAGTAGTTTATGCAAGGAATGCGTTAAGATAGTGTCGTTTACTCTTTTTACGCGAGTTGCGTACACTACTTTACCTACGACAATATTTTCTTATTAATAACCAGACAGGATGTGAATGAAGCGCGAGGGATGTTGACTTGGAATGTCCAAGCGTTGTCCGTGAGAAATAACAGGGGAGAAATAGCAGAGTTTCGCATTTTTCCAAGAGAGGGCGGTCATTCAGGATTCGTCATCGGTATGCTTCTTTTTTGGGGAGATGAGAGCTAAATCTCATTTCCATATGTGCCGTTGACTGTTACACATCGCGATGGAGTACACAACTACTAATAGAGGTGCGCTTAGTCTTATTGACAACGGGTATGGCTATTAAAAAACGCGAGAATAAATCTGGTGAAGTGATCTGGTGGTGTAGTAAATCGTTTAACGGAGGTTGTCTCGGAAAGGTGAT